TCCTCCCGGTTGCAGTGTTGCAACACTGCAACCGGGAGGAGGACCTGGCCTCCGACCTAGCCATAGCCGCTGAGTTAGGACAATGCAGGCGGTCTGGGCGGCCTCGGTAGCCCAAGTACTTCCTTGGCCACCCGATAGGCCTCCAACTGCGCGGCGCCGTTTGTCCCGCTCGAGCTCGATCTGGGCGCGGTACCGTAGCTCCGACGCCCACTCCTCCCGGGCCGCAGCTCCAGGCCGCCAGGCAGGGTGGCCCACCGTCAGCCGACGGCGTCCTGGCTGCGGGTCCTGAGCCACAGACTCCACGGCGACAGGCGGCGGCCAACGCGACGGCGCCGGCCCTCACAGCATTCCACCGGGACCGAGCGGGCAGGGCGCCTTACGCCGCAGACCGCCCTCGGACGGCCCGCGAAGCGCGCGGCCCGTGACCAACACCAGATGGAGCAGCAGGGGGCGTTTCTTCGCCTCGGTGACCGGGACCCGTCCTGCCGCTCGCATGCACGTCCTGTTCCGGCATCTCTGAGTCTCCAAGCGGACCCCGACGGCCGCATGGGGCCGGCGGGCCCACCATCGAGGACTGGCAGCGGTGGGCGGACGGGCTCCAGGATGCCACACCGGTGCCGGTGCTGGCGGAGGCACCCGACCCTGAAGCCCAGGCGCCGGACCAACTGGCTAGGTACGCCAGGACTCTCTCCAACAACACTGGGCCGGACTTGCTGCCGGGGGAGCTGTTAAAATATGCCCCTCCTAGCCTCTCTCAGCTGTTGGCTGCGGTAATCGGCCCAGCCTGAGAGGCGGGTGAGTTCCCCACGGAGTGGGTCACATCGGTCCAGCAGCCCATTCCCAAGGTGCCGCGTACGCTGGCGGAATACCGCAGGCTCACCTTGTGGAACGTCATCTACAAGCTGCTGGCCAAACACCTCCTGATGCCCCTCTACGCGGTGCCCCCGCCCATGCCTTGGTACCAGGCTGGGTTCCAGCCGCAGAGAGGGACCTACGACCATATCGTGCTGCTCAGGAAGGTGCGCTTGAGGGCGGGCGACACGGTCCACGTCTTGGGCCTGGACATCAAGTCGGCGTTCCCGTCGACGGGAGCTGGCGGCGGTGCTGCTGGCCGACGGCGTCTCTCCGTTCCTGCTCAACGGCGTCACCGCGCTGGCGCTGACGGGCTTCACTTCCATCAGGTGGTTCGCGGCCCGCACGGCACGGGGAAGCAGGGCTGCTCCCTCGCGCCGTTCCTCTTCACGCGCGCCCTCCACTGGGCCATCAAGGCAGCGGTGCAGCACCTCCCCGGCTTCAGCCTTGACGTGGACTCCATCGACTTCTCCCCGCTCCTCCTGGCCTATGCTGATGATCTCCTGGTGGCGTCGATCGACGTCGGGGTCGGGGACCTGCACGCGTTCCTGGACAGCTGCGCGGTGCCGGCGATCGGGTTGGTCTAAAACTTCCATAAGTGTGAATACTTAATCAAGACTCCGTTACCGCAGGATTTCCGCCCCCTCCCGTGCCCCGCCCTCATTGCCGGCAGGGCCGTTCCTCAAGTGGCCAAGCTCCTCTACCCGGGAGCCCTCATCACGGCGAGCCTGGATCGCCGCAGCACGGCGTACCAGCGCATCACCACCACCAGGCGCTCGGTAACAGCGCTCCAGCCGCTGATCTACCGGCACCCGCTCCCGTCCAAGGTCGTGGCGAGGATCTGGACGTGCGCCTGCGCTAAGCTACGCCCACCACCACCACCCGCAGGTCTTGCTGCACACCTCTCCCTCTGCTGACCGCCGGCCAAGTGACCGAGACGCCGCGCGGCTCGCTCCGCCTCCACCTCTCTCTCTCGCTCAGCTGGTTCGGTCCGCGGCTCGGTTGTGTCAGAGCTGAACTGAACACCGACCAGGGCGAACTATCAGCCTCACCTACCATCTTTCTATCCCCGGTACGTTATGCCTTTCTGCCACGTGTTCGTGGTTTTCCTATTCGAGTTAGAGCCTTGTATTGATTTTACCTTTTTATCCCTTCTACTTCTAGGGTCTTGAAGGGTCTTGTACGTCTTGGACGTCTTTACCATGACTGGTTTTACCTGAGTTTTGCAATGCAAGTAATTCTATCGTATCGTGCCGACATGTCGCCCTCTGACCTCAAGCTCACCGCATCGTTTCGTCCTGCTCTCGGAGTGTATCGTTCTTGTATACGTCTCGGTTTACACCTTTAGCTTTGGTTTACCGGTTTTTATGTATGTATCGTTTGGCCGTGGTGCCGTTGTTCTGGACCTCCTGGAGTTAGGTTATGAAGTGCCTTTTGATTGTTTTTCTGTCAGCCAGTCTAAATAAACTGTGATATTGTTAATTATGGGTTCTAGTTATGTTAGGAATTTCACATTCCTTGGCGCACTTATATAAATTCATTGCTTTAACCCAGCCCCTGTACCTGGCAAACGCTGAGCTAGTCGTCCAGTTTATCAGGGTTATGTATCAGGCCACCACCAATAGGGTAAGTCGTATATCGCTTATTTTCGATTCTTGGGTTGTAATAGTGTTTTCCAACCGCCATTTTAGATGAAAACTCCTGGAAACATTTTTTAAGTTTTTCCCTTTAACGTTTTCATAACCCTACCTTGCCTGTTCTTCTGGCCTGCCATAAGAGGTGGTTTTGAAAACTTCAATTTTGGGCGTATTTTTTTCTTGACTAAACACGCAATTTTACGGCTCTTTGGGAGAAAATTTTGAGAAGAAGGCTCTATCTCAGCCGGTTTTCGAGCTACGAATTATTATTGGAAGGGAAAAGGTTGCTTATTTACAGCAATATAAAAACAATTCATATTATGCAAACCGGCAGAGATAGAGCTTTCTCCTTAAAATTTTCACCCAAAGAGCCGTAAAATTGCGTGTTTAGTCAAGAAAAAAATACGCCCAAAATTGAAGTTTTCAAAACAACCTCTTATGGCAGGCCAGAATAACAGGCAAGGTAGGGTTATGAAAACGTTAAAGGAAAAAACTTAAAAAATGTTTCCCGGAGTTTTCATCCAAAATGGCGCATGGAAAACACTATTACAACCCAAGAATCGAAAATAAGCGATATACGACTTACCCTAACCACCAAGGCCACCAGGACCACCCTGCGGCGCCAGGCGGACGTGTTTTAATAACATCAACACCGGCGTAGCAGACAGCATAGGGTTGTATGGTCCCACCAGTCGGCTTTCGTACTGACAGCCAGTCTGATCACAGTCCCTATGGTGCCTGCTGTGCCGGTCTATAAATGGGCGCTAATTTAATATATCGTTCCCGGCCTTCAATAATTTGAAGGGGCGCGCCAAGCGGCAGTTCCTGGAGCGGGCCCGCCATGTCCGTGCACACACAAAACAGTATTCTTGCGATAAGAATATAAATATTCTTGCTTACGATATTCTATTCCCAATCATAATATTCTACCAGTTATGCCTCCAAACTTCTTCTTAATAGCATGCGGATTACACCCATTAGAATAAAATATACTTAGTACGAAGGGCGCTGTCAATACATCTGTATACTCAACATGAGAATAATAGTCTTCTTACAAGAAAAATAGTATTCTTGATTTGAGAACACATGTCGGATTGAGGTGCCAGTTTTTGCCCGATGGAAAACTACCTCATTTGAAACTTGTAATGTTCTTCACGGAAGCATAATTATTCTTAAGAGTGTGAGCCCTCCGGTCGAATGGGATTCGTAGCCCACGCAACTCGGGTAGAGCTGTTCTCGTAGCCTAGTGGTCAAGGGTGCGGAGTGATAAGTCAAAGGTCCGAGGTTCGAATCCAGGTAAAGTTGGCCAAAAAAGTCAACGAAATTGAAGTGTTAACGCAAATAAATGAAATGGCGCACACCAAGAATAACATTTTCTACTTTTTGTGGTCTAAAATGAGAATCTAGAGAATCTACCCTCAAGCCTACATTATTCTTGAAACAAGAATACTAACTTGAGTATATTTTATACTAACGGTAAGAATATATAGTCTAGTCCCCATATCAAGAATATTTTATTCTTACTCAAATCATAATCGGCTTGCAGTCAGAATACTATTTTGTGTGTGTGGGACGGGCGGTAGCGAGGGGGTGATCAGTCATGCGAAATGTGTACAATGATTTTACGGAAAGTGACTTTTTTTTGACTTTTTTGTGACTTTTTTGTGACTTTTTTGGGGGGTTGTACAATGATTTTTCGAAGTGATCCCCCCCTCGGGCGGTAGTTAGATAGGAGGGAAAATTCATTGGAGGACGGGAAGCCACCAACTTCCCGACCGAGCCCGTCCGCCCGAGTGGAAAAAAATGTCAGTAAGAAGTTAGTGTGGTATGCTACTCTATCTAATTACAGATTTGCAATTAATGATGCCTCTATCAGAGGAATGGTGAAGGAGGAAGCTCACAGGCTGCTTGAATTTACCAAGAGTGAAGTAAAAGACAAATTAGTCTCCTTGGAGGTCAACTCCAGCAAGAAAGATGGCCGCCCTTTCTTTGGAGTCAAGATTCTGTTTTCTTATAATGGGGAGCTTCAGTTGCGTACTCATGCAGTAAGGGAGCTATTTGTCTCTTAGAGTGGAGAAAATTTGATGAGTGAAATTAGTAATAGTAGTAAGTGTACCCCATTGTAACCCTCCGCCATCTTCGTACCCCATTGCACGGCTCGCAGCGCGCCCCGCCCTGCTTTGGGGCGTCTATCTATGTGGGACTCACGTGATTAATATGTACTTATGACCGTCTTTTACAGTCGTTGTCGATGTCGTGGAAAGCACTTGGTGGGGTCTCCACCACCGCCCACCCCTCCGCCCTGGTGTGTCGCCGCACCCACCTCACCCCAGTCGCCAGGTGGACGACGGGACGGGCGACGACAACGCACTGCACGAGGTAAGTCTAGTTGTTGTTGCCGCTGTGCTTGTTTTGACCTGTGTGCTCCTTCTATGTGCAGTTCCCCGTGCGCGCGCCCCTGGCCCCCGCCGCTGTGCAGGCCGCCGCCGTGCTGGAGGATCAGGCCTATGAGCAGCCCATATCCGCCCCGCACCAGCAGGCCGCCGCCAAGGAGGCCCCAGCTGACTCCACAGAAGTGTGTGTGTGTGCGCGCGCGAGGTTTCACCATGGTTTAAACTCTGATTGTTCTTCTGCAGGCATGCATCAGGGCTCGCTCCGCCCCCTCCCGCCTCCACACCCCTGCTGCCAGGGCCCCAGTGGCCGCCCCCACC